TTAACTCTATCCCAGCAAAACCAGGACAGGTTTCCAGGTCCTGAAACCCGAGGGGTTTTTCCTCGACAGCCCCTGCAGCTGCCAGCACCCAGTTCCACAGCAATCCTGGTAACTTGCCTTTTGGTTGTGCTTACCCACAGCTGGGCCTCTCACTTCCAGGACCCAGCAGTGTCCCCCCTGCAACCCACCACACCCCAGAAAACAGGGTTCACAGGGGCTCTGTTGTCCCTAACAACTTCTAAGCACCCTTTCAGCAGGCAAAGCGAGCAGCTGAGCCCAGATCATGCTCAGGCACCTCAGATCTTTGTAGGTTTTTTTAATTTATTCAAAATAGCCTGAGCTACCAGCACACTGAGACTGCCTCTGTTGAACTGATGAGTCCTGCTCTAAGGGCAGGGGAAGAAGGAACAGTGTGTGCTGCTTGTCCAGAAACTGGTGGCACTGGGAATCAATTAACTGCTGGTGATTTTAGGCTCTGCTGGAACAGCATGTGAAGGTTATAGTCATTCCTAGTCAAGCCTGTGAATTAGTGGCTGTTCTCCAGGTCTGTATTTCAAGGCAGTATTCCTGGCTGGTTCAACAAGGTGCAAATTTGACAAGATGACAAAGTAACTGAAGGAGACAGATGAAAACAGTCAAGCACAGCGTGGGCTGACTGGTGTTCTCCACACCCAGACATCCCCACAGCGTCCAGCTCCTTCCTGGAAAACCACCAGGTCTGTGTGTGGATGTGTCTGTCAGGTCTCCACCACCCCAGCTGGCAGCTTCCGTTCAACGTAGCTCTTCTCCTCCACGTGGTTTGTCTGGTCAAGGAGCCAGTGTCTCTCCTCGTCACTGACGTCCAGCCTCAGTGTCACCTCTTGGAAAATGCTGTTTGCAGCAACCTGCATCACACGGAGGAAGAGCAGCTCAGTCCCAGTCACGGGGCAAACGCTGCTCACGTTCTCTGGGCAGAAGATGAGCTGTTACCACAAGCACCTCCTTAAAATGAAGCTTTTTGAACATGCAGATACTGACTTCATTCTCCTGACCAATCTTAGCCTCAAATTTGGTGATCCCCAGGTTTCTCACTCCTGCAAAAGAAATTGGAAAAAGAAGCATTTCTATTACCTGCTTGGCTGGCAGATCTACAAAGGCACAAGACTCCAGTTTCTCGGGCTGAGGGATCCCTTACTGCCCTGTCTGTACCAGGAATATCTGCTTCTAGATGACATCCTGACTGTGCTCCCGTTCACTCAGGCACCCTTACCATAGGACATCATCATCAGCGTTGCCTCCTTGCCAAACCCTCTGCCTCGGTAGCCAGGCTCTGCAAAGAGACAGCCACAGAAGTCAGCTTCCAGTTATCTGAGACAAATCAGCTATGCCGGGTTCTTTTCAAGAAGAGACTGTGACTTGGACCAGCAGAGGATGTTGCTCAGGGCTGAAGAGCCACAGTAAGGCAATGAGATAACATCTGTCTGCAGCTGGCTTTAGCCACAGCGACAAGACACCCAAGCTGGGAAGCAGAACTTGACCTGCAATCATAATTTCAATCTCGCCCAATGTTGGATCCTCGGTGTCAGTGAGGAAGAGATTCACGTCCCCCACCATGCAGTCCTCATCTGCACACGCCTGCCCGGACCACCGCTCCGTGTCCAGCACGATGAAGGTGCACTCTGCGGAAAAAAAATGGAGCAGCATTTTCATAGAATCATAGAATGGTTTGGGTTGGAAGGGACCTTCAAGCTCATCCAGTTCCAACCCCACTGCCATCAGCAGGGACACCTTCCACTAGACCAGGTTGCTCAAAGCCTCATCCAACCTGGCCTTGAACACTTCCAGGGAGGAGCAGCCACAGCTTCTCTGGGCAACCTGGGACAGTGTCTCACCACCCTCACAGTGAAGAACTTCTTCCTAATATCTCATCTAAACCTCCCCTCTTCCAGGTTAGAGCCATTTCCCCTTGTTCTGTCACTAACTGCCCTTATAAAAAGTCCTCCCCAGTTTTTTTGTAGCCCCTTCAGGTACTGGGAGGCCACTAGAAGTTCTCCCCGGAGCCTTCTCTTCTCCAGGCTGAACAGCCCCAACTCTCTCAGCCTGTTCTCACAGCAGAGCTGCTCCAGCCCTCTTTTCAAGGCACACCTGTCCTCACAGCAGAGCTGCTCCCGCCCTCTTTTCAAGGCACGCTGAGAATTATTCACAAATTACTGAAGGGTGAAATTAAAGGCATGCAATAAACAGAGGAACAACATTTTCCACGTGTTAACAGTGAGGAGGTGCTAACAATGAGGCCTCCCATGCCAGGCGTGCCTGCTTCCATCCCTCCAAACACAAGAAATATTCTGAAATACACGTTGTGTGAGTGATGTAGACACCAAGACTAGAAACAGCCTATTTAAGGAGCATGAAAACTTTTCATCCTGTGTCTGAAGTCTCCTTGCCTTGTCTCACTCTGCAGCAAGTCTGAGCAAAGAATTTGGTGCACAAGAGACTGCCTATTTAAGGAGCATGAAAACTTTTCATCCCATGTCTGAGGTCTCGTTGCCTTCTCTCACTCTGCAGCACGTTTGGGCAAAGAATCTGGTGCACAAGAGACCGAGACCTAATGATTCACCTCGTCCCTATTATTTTTGCTTTTAGGAAGGCTTTAGTGCCAGCTAAGACAAATGTTCCAGACTGAGGTCCAGCCCAGCTCTGGTATTTTGCAGCTCACTATATTTCTACCAGGCTTTTATGGGCAAGTGATTCATGAGCTGTAGGAGAGTGAGGGAACCCATTCAGTCAGCACACCTCAACCAGGTAATTATAAAGTTATTTGATTTCTCAAGGAAAAAATACAACCCCCTTCCACCTTTTTATGATGATCAGACCTGGGGAGCATTAACTGTGCAGGAGCAGCTCAGCACATAATGCTGTGGGAAGTAAATCACTGTAATCTTTGAAAAACTGCATGAAAAGGACACCAACAGCTCTGGACGTTCTCTACTTCCCTGCACAAACACCAGCTGTGAGCAGAAAGCCAGTTTGAAGTTACTGTTGTAGAAGGTCTCACATCTCATCTGCTTCAGCAAGCAGAGTCTGCTCTCAGCCCACTGTGGGTGCTTTACAGGACAGGAGGGACCTGCTCACCACTCCCACCCGCCCTTAGACACTGTTGGAGATCCTCACTGTCTGCATCGTCCCGCCAGCTGCGCTGCATCTCGTACTCCTGCTCCAGGCTGAGGGGCTCGGAGGCCGTCAGGCGCTGCAGCTCCTCCGACTGCATCCACGCGTGGTACCTGACAAGGGGACCCAGAACCAGAGCTCTGCCTGAGCTACAGCATCACAGTCTGATTTCCACAAGTGCTCTAAGGATGAGGGTGTCATAAAATGATTCTGGAAACACTAGCCTGGCATTTGTGGCAACTTAAAAATATCCACAAGCCTCTCTCTCTCTGCTCTAACGCAGGAATCGGGGTTCTCCATGGAAATTTAGCAAGTTTATCCGTCCTGTAGCTTGGTCTGAAGAGCACCCAGTGCAAACTCGGTGTTTTTAAAAGTACTGAGCATTGAGTTCCAGCACATTTCATCCCAACTGAGATGGATACAGCATCTCCCAGACTGACAGTCTGACTAACACTGCAGCATCTTGGTGCTGAGGCTGCAGCTGCCCAGCCCAGCGCTTTACAAACTCCCTGCATGCCTGCTTCCAATTTATCAACCAACCAGCTTGCTTTACACAGTGAAGTTCTGCTCTTTC